GATTATGAGACCAAATGTGCTTCTATTTAAGTCAATGGCAAACTCCATTTGGGGCTCATCCTATCCCTACGGAGCTCAACATTTGGAAGATAGATTCCCCCCTCACCTCCCAGCACTAAAATGTGGAAAACAGCTCACTTATTGGTGAATGTAAAGTATTTCTTCCTTGGCAATGGATACTGTAAGTTGGTTTTAATTGGAAGGCTTTGTAAAAAATTGTTTGTAATATTACCCGGAGGTGGTCAGACGTTGAATGCTCATTCTTCAGCTGAATCATCTCACTCCAAAATGCCCTTTTCTCTTGCTCTCATGATATAAGGTGTTGATGCTGCTGTAAAGTGGGTTCTTTTGTGCTGTCTCACTGAGTCAAGTTTCCTCATATTTTTATGGGGCAATAAGAAAGTAGAAATGATGCTGTAGAAACAGATGGTCTAGAATGAGGGCTGATCAATCGAGATAGATGAACTCAACAGGCAGCCAAGTCTGGAAAGAACTTTTTGTTGACAAAGACATCCCTAATGAGAGATTCAAGGTTTTTTTTTTTTTTTTTTAAACTCTAAACAGCATATGAACATAGTTTCAGTGCAGACTGAGAGATGCTGAAAAAAAGATCCACGTCAGATGAGAGTAGTCATAATAGCAGTTAGTTGACTAGTTTTTAATTTGTCATTATTAACATTTACAAAATTAATTTGTTTTTAGGACTAGGTTCAGAATGAAATGTTTTACAATCTCATTGGTAAATTGTCCATGGCAAAATTCTTCCCTCTTTTCTTCCCAGTTCATCTTTTTGTTTTATTTGGTATGAAATGTGTAAATGGGAATGGGAAATCACAGAGCCAAAATTTTTAATCAGACTGTTTATAGTGTATTCAAGATCATAATTATGTAAAAAGACATGGTACTGTATTATTCTGAACTAATTTAGAAGATTATATTTGTAACTTATTTTATGAGGTAATGAGGGTTGGTATGATCTGTTTTTCCTAAGACAGTGCGGCTTGAGGAAAAGAAATAAAATGGGTACTCATTATACTGCTCTTATGTAAATATTGCAAGAGAGCACACATGGGGAATTTTTTTTCTCTCAGTTAAGAACTAGTATAAGGTTTAGGCATCATTTAAGTCTCACTTATGCTCTGTTGAAAAATTAAGTGGTACGTAGGTCTGGAAATGGCCATCTACCCAGAGTGAATATTACCCACAAATATCTTCACTATTGAGCACCAAACTACAAACTTGTCTTCTGCATGCAATAAATGTGTTAAATACTAGTCTACATAGTCATGTGGAAGTCTATACAAATAGTGATCATTGCTAAGAGCAAAAAATAAACTACTGTGCAAGAAACAGAAATGTTATCACACTGGAAAGATTACTGTACTTTCAACAGGACAATATATCGTCTTACCTCGGGATTGTTTTCCAAGCAAATATTTTATAGCTGATTCTTACCTATTGTTCATTTTAATAAGGCCTAGTTTCTATGATCAGTGAAGTCAGTGGGAGTTTTGCCATTGTCATGAACGGGAACAGAGTGTCAGATTGCAGAAATAATGTAATTTTGTTTCAACCATTAGAAAGCAAGAACATGTTTAAAATATAAAGTTTAATATAATAGTTCATATGAGATAGGAAACTATGCAGAGATGATAAATTGTCTCTTATTAGATCTTAGCACTTCCCATGCAGCTTCTTTGCAATTATGCTATTGAAATCTATTTTAGAATGGTATCTCACATTGCTTGATTTGATGGTTTAAAATTAATTGCTGTTTTAGTAGCAAAGTACCAAAAACATTTGCTCAGTGATTCTCAAATTTAAAAAAAAATAACTTCAAACTTTATTGGATAAAAGAACAATTGATTTTACATGCAAATGGTGCCTCTTCTAAAATACTGCATGTCAATACGAGATAACATGAGTTACATTCTTCTATACCACCATAGGCCTTATTTCACATTTGCCTGGTAAAAGATTAGAACACATTACACAGCAGTTTGTATTAATCTCTCCAACACACACACTTATTTTATACATTTCTGTATTTAAAGATAGACTCCTGCCTACTGAGTTTTTCAAAAGCATCTTGGGACCTCACTCCCACTGAACTCAATCTTGAAAATCCCACCAGGTACCTATCTGAATCTTTAGGTGTGGGTGCCTAAACACCTTTAACCATTTGGCCCTTAGTTTTTACCTTAAGATGAAACTGTCTCCTTTGCAGTGGGATGAATTTCACTCTTAGGCTACGTCTACACTCGCAGCTTCTTGTGCAAGTAATATGCAAATGAGGCTACGTGTGTAATATCGCCGAGCCTCATTTGCATACCTAATGAGCCACCTTTTTTTTCAGAAGAGGCTCTTGTGCAAGAAGAAGCATCTACACTGCCCCTTCTTGCGCAGGAAAAACCCTCTTGCGCAATGCCGTTCTTCCTGTCAAGTAATAGGTGTAACGGCATTGTGCACGAGGGTTTTTCTTGCGCAAGAAGGGGCAGTGTAGACGTTCCTTCCTGCGCAAGAGCCTCTTCTGAAAAAAAATGGTGGCTCATTAGGTATGCAAATGAGGCTCGGCAATATTCCACGCTTAGCTTCATTTGCATATTACTCCCGCAAGAAGCCGCGAATGTAGACATAGCCTTACTGATTATAATATTACTACTATATCACATTTCCCCCCTCAAATGACAGGTGCTATAGAAATGAAAAGTATGAAGACAAGGCCTGGCACAGCAATGCTGTCAGTAAACCTTGTTGTTTGCTGATAGCCCAGAGCTCTTCTCCACACATCTCCATTTAGCAGGGGGGAGAGGAAACTGATACTCTTATTAATGACAGATTAGTGAAGTGGATCAGCCTCAGCTGATACAACAAACTGGAGTATACTGAGAGTATGGTCACAGGCTCTGACAGCATCCAGCACACACAACCATTGTGTGGTCAGAAGACAGAGGAGACAGAAACCGTCCCTTTGGCACAGTACTTATCTGCAACCGCACTTCAGTCACAGTTGATTTTCTGGTACCACAAATATCTTCGCTTTTGCTTAACAGAAAACAGCACAATTACCCTCTCCTACTATAGAACTCTATTCTGTTTGCAACTGGTTTCCAGGTTAGGCCTCCTGAGGTGTGCTGCTTTTCATTTTCTCATTCAAATCTAACTAGGATTATACTTAAAATGCTACAGTAGCACAACTGCAGCTGCACTGCCAAAGTACCTCAGCGTAGCCACTCACTGGAGCAATGGGATGGGTTCTCCCATTACCCTAGTTAATTCACCTCCCCTAAAGCAGTACCTAGGTTGCCAGAAGGATTCTTCTCTGCTGACCTAGTGCCATCTATACTGAGGTTAGGTCATCTTAACTTTGTTGCTCCTGGGTCTGGATTTTTCACACCCCTAAGCAACACAGCTGAGTCAATTTAACTTTGGAGTGTAAACATAACCTTAGTAACATATGGGAAAAAAAAACCTTTTTCCCACTTCTGCTGTTCAAACAGTAAGTTGAATGTTGTGAATGCCTCTATAGCACCAAACTGGTGCTATATATCCAGAAATATAATCTATGCTATCATGTGCCGAAAGTGTCCATCTGCTATGTACATTGGACAAACGTCTCAGACACTTCGCCAAAGGATTAATGCCCACAAAACAGATATCAGACAAGATCACAAAGAAAAAACAGTTTCTTGCCATTTTAACCAGAAAGGACACTCTCTCAATGACTTAACCACCTGCATTCTGCTACAAAGACCTTTTACATCTGCACTTGAAAGGGACTCCTCTGAACTGTCATTCATGTTAAAATTCGACACTCTCCAAAGAGGATTGAACAAACACTTGAACTATCTTACCCATTATCAAGATAGCTTCCCCAATTACCATTAACTCACAAACATCCCACTACTCTCCCCACCTCTAATATCATCAATTCACAGACACTTACCTTCCTTCCTTTTCCCCCTCCCCTGCATCCCCCTCCTGTTCTGAAATGTGATTTGTCCTTTTCATATGTGTTCATTTTTTTTAATTGTATCCTTTGGTATATATGGTTGTGACTATTTTCTTCCACTATTTGATCTGAGGAAGTGGGTCTGGCCCACGAAAGCTCATCATCTAATAAACCATCTTGTTAGTCTTTAAAGTGCTACATTGTCCTGCATTTTTCTATAGCACCAGCTATAGTGATGCACCAGCCAGCTCCGAAAGCCCAATATCAAGAGCCCACTATCACAGTGAAGGGACAAAAGCTGCAAGCAGTGGACCAATTTACATACCTTGGCAGCACCCTCTCCCACGCAGTGACAATTGACATCGAGGTCAACTGCAGAATCGCCAAGGCAAGCTCTGCATTCGGCAGACTGCTGACCAAAGTGTGGGACCGCCGTGGAATAAGCCTTGCTACAAAGCTTAAAGTCTATCGAGCAGTAGTGTTAACTACCCTGATGTATGCCAGTGAGACTTGGACTGTATACAGGAGGCATGCTAGGCAACTGAACCACTTCCACACGATTTGCCTCCGCAGACTTCTGAGGATCCGGTGGCAGGATAAGGTGCCAGACACAGAAGTCCTTTTTAGAGCAGGCCTGCCGTCAGTTCACACTCTGCTGATGAAAGCCCAGACACGCTGGGCTGGCCATGTTGCAAGGATGCCAGACCATCGCATCCCTAAACAGCTCTTCTATGGTGAGCTGTCTTAAAGAAAGCGATCGCACGGGGGACAAAAGAAGAGATACAAAGACATGCTTAAAGCCTCTCTCAAGTCCCTGGAAATCGACACCACCTCCTGGGAGACCCTGGCACAAGACCGATCGACATGGCACATGCTGATCCACCAAGGCTGTCAAACATCTGAAGCCAGAAAGACAACCATAGCACAAGAGAAGCGAGCACTCCGTAAAGCCAGAGTTGCAAACGCTGCAACAGTGGTGCCTGCACATGTCTGCCTGACATGTGGCAGAACATTTCGTGCCCGCATTGGCCTTATCAGCCATCTGCGGACACACCGTGGACAGCCCACAACTCGTTAGATGTCAAGGTCCTCTTCGAACACGATGGACAAACATCAGCAGTGGTAGGGAACCTGCATCCTGTGGGCCACATGCAGCTCACTGATGTTCTATGTGACCTACAAGACATTTTGTTTACCATTGCCCATGTACAGAGTTGCAGATTTCACAGGTTTCTCTGCACATAGTTTTTTCCTACCAGTACTTCTCAAGTGACAAAGCAAGAGCACATGAAATGAGGTGCATGTTGATTACACACAATATTGACTGTGAAAAAGATGCATTCTCACTGCATCCAATCAAAGCACTGCTATGTTTCAAATGGCACAACTTGCATATTCTAGATATGCAAGTGCAGTTAGCAAATCTACCCTAACTGAGGAGACAGTCTTGGTTATGACAATCTTGCAACCCAATGAGCTAGAGGGCCATTTATGCAGTCCATTCACTAGCTTAGATTACTCCTTGCTGCTTTATAGGGTGACAGAATGGATGGTTGGAAATGCTTTGTTCTGGAGTGCAGCTAGGTATCTGAGCATCATCTCTGGACCTGAATCCTTAAGAACAGACTTGGCCTGGGGAAAAAGTACAAAGCTATGGACCCAGATCCTTCGGAATGTGCCAATATAGCACTTACTGTGGTATAAACGACAGATTATTGTGTATTTTAGATCTAGGAAGTTCTGGATTCAGTGTTCAGAGAATTGTTATTTGAAAAAAATTGTAGCTGTTGGTTATCTGAGACTGAATCTAAACATTGGAACTTGATGTAGCTTGTAAACAAAGACCTCCTCACTGTACTAACTCAGTTCACTTTGTTGCTGCACTTGTTGGGATCCAGTTAAAATCAGTTAAATGGAGAAGTGATTGGCTTATTTGAGATACAAGACATACTTACATATTCTGTGTCATTCCTTTGAAACATAACTTTTTTATATCACAGTAGTACGTGTGACAGGTTTGGGCAAAAAAATCCCCTTGAGACTGTTACTCGATGTGCTGAAATACCAGTGAGACTGCCTTCCTGTTTTTTGGGACACTCCACCACCCTACCCTGTTTAGAACGACCCTGTGGTTTGCTCCAGTGTTGGCAAAGAGTTGGGGTTGCAGCCCTCAGCAGAGCCATACAGACAATGAGATCAACTCAGCTCTGGGAAGGTTCAAAGGGACTTGACAACAACACCCAGATGAAGCCACAATGGGATCAAAATCCCAGATAAGTCCATTTTACTCTGTATAAAGTGTATACAAAGCAAGCTCATAAAATGTTCACCTCCTTTACCAATTGAAGTTAGATATGCACAGCTGTTTGCCCAAGGATGGAGTTTAGAGAGAATGGGGGTGACGGGCAGCAGCTGGGTGCACCGGGATGTGGCTTGAGCAGTCAATCAGGCAGGGTCAGGATTTACTGCCAAGGTGTCCTCACAGATCTCTGGCTTCATGGATGATGATAACCAGAAGACTGATTGCATGTGTGCTCCATGGTGTGTGCTGTCAAACTGTGCACTTAGTCTTCACAGCAGACCCCAAAAGAGCCCCCAAAACCCACAAATCAGATTAGGACCGAAGGTGCTCAGTCAGGTTTATTGTTAAGCAAAGTACAGTAATAGTTGTCAGTAGACTCTACTGAACCATTACACATATGTACTCGTAACAATGGAATGACTCAATAAGTGGGAGGTCCCACAGCCCTGTCCACCCTCCCACCCCCGGTCATCCAAAGACTGTCCTCCCAAGACACCACTTTATATACAGATACAAACAAGTTATACATCACTCCTGACAGGTCAGGTTACCACCCTCTGATCCTACTTAAATCCCACCCATCACCCTGTACCTCATGGTTTGATTAGATCATTTCTATCCATCATGCTGTCATTTTAGACTCTTTCCTGAACCTGGGTCTGTATCTGTGGGGAGTGTGTAGCAGGATCCTTTTTAATGACCTGGTGTTACCATGTGCTTTCAACTTATGCCCATAACCAACTACTGTTCAACACCTGGGCATATTACCAATTAGTGTTTTGCAATCATAGCCCTGTTTGTGCCAAGTTCTGTGAGCCGGTGCCTGCCTCTTGCTCACCGCTTAGCTTTGCTTTTTATATTAGCCAAGTGTTGTCCATTGTTAGCTAGGCCTGTACTACCTGGACTTATGTTTTAGGCCTTCATCTTACTACAGCTTGCTTTTCTTCCTGCTTCCCTGACCATCAGGGAGCAAGGGGAAAGAACTTGGATTCCGTGATTTACACCTCTGCCCCCTCCCTTCACCAGCCAGGAGTGAGAGGCCTGCACAGAATCCAAGTACTTTCCCCTCATTCTCTTATCGTCAGGGGAGCAGGAAGAAAAACAAGCTGTGTCCCAGTGTTCACTGCTGCTGCCGCCGCCCTCTCTTCCCTCCCCACTCACCCCCGTTCTCTCGAAACTCCACCCTTGTGCTTGCCCCCTCATATCAGTTATTTACACTGGGTTTATTAATAAAGACGTGTATTAAAAGTAGGATTTAAGTGGTCAAAAGAGATAAGAGAACAATGTAGGTTACTAAACAAAACGAACACACAAACTGAGCTTAATACACTAAGATAATTAGTTACAAATCATAATTTTTCACTCTAACTCTTATTTCAGATGAAATGTCTTTTCTGACCTGGATCCATCCTCTCGTTACAATTCTTTTGCTACTTGGTGTTTTCATGTATCCTCTTGGGGTGCACTAGTTGTCTGTAAAGCTAAAGACAATCATTGTTTACTTAGAATTTCCCTAGGGTGAGAAGCCTTGTTAGATTCCCCCACACCTCTGTGAAAGTACAAAATTCAAGATCCAGCATCAGGTGACATGATCATGTCGTTGTAGCATATTTGCAGGAAGACAGTTCTTTCCCACTTGAGTCTTGCTAGTGGGCCATTAGCTCTGTGTTTGGCTTCTTTATTATTGTTCCTGATGGTCTGGTAAAAGGCTTTTCCCAACATGAAACACGTTGATGATAGATCTACAGTCAATATTCCAAACTTCAACTGCAGAAATGGTAATGCATGCAAATAGAATATACACAATGAGTAGATTACAAGCTTTCCAATATCTTACAATAATAATTGTGCACAAAGTATTTCCATTTATGCATATTCATAAGCATATTTTCATAAATCACAGGGAAGGCACTGTAATGGTTTTGAGACAGTGTCTTTCATGTCATGCTTCCAAACAATTCAGTACAAGGATGGTAGTTTCTTTCAACAGTAATGTAATGCAATATATTATCATGATACAAATGTGTACACAGTACTGTTGTAAACTTAAGTTGGTCCAAACCAACAGCAATAGTTATTTAAAACTAAGAACATTACATTCTATGTGCAAAAGGTCTGATAAAGCCTACTTTGACCCTAGCTCCCGTTGACCATGGACACACAAGTTAATCTTCCAAAATGCCTTCTTGTTTGTTGCAAAAACCTTTTAAAAGATCATGTAAAAAAGTTTGTTTATAAGCTTTTCAGTGATGACACACTATTGGATCACCTCTAAATACTTCTTGATGCTCCCAAGTACGTGTCAATGTACTAAAGTCTCTTTCATGGTTAAAAGGAAGCATTTCATCATGCTCCTCTACACAGTCCAGGTCACTTCCCCAAGGCTTGCTCAAATCCTGCCACAGTGCTCACTTGTAATTCTTCTTTTTATGCAGGAAATCAATTGGGGATTTGACCATGAGGTTAGATGTGGGTAATACTAAAAAATGTTTCCTATGACATGAAATTACATCATTGGATTCCAGATCTTTCTGCTTTGAACATTTGGCTGCAAATACGTGGATAAATATGCTATACACCTCATTAACTCTTTAAGTAGGAATGGTAAGTATCAGATTGAAAACATCATTTTTATTAAACTCCATTTTCCATGCATGCCATGAAAAAACCTAATGTGTTATGTAAAGAATGCCCTGATGGTTAAATAGCATCTCTGCAGAAAGATAAAGAATTTTTTACTAGATACTTTTTCCTCTTGCAGTTATCTTTAAAATGTATGTGCCACTTATTTATTGCATCTACATATTGAGTAATAAAAGCTTGAAAAGTGGACGGTTGATTTTTTGGGAAGTGAGGATAGGCTGCATGCTTTTCTTTCTGTGTAGCTTTTTATATTTGCATTTTAGATTTTGCCTACTCTGTTTTTCCTGGAAGACACTGAACTCCTGGATTCCTAATAAGATTACATCACATGTACAAAGAGTGAAAACTAAACACTTTAGAGGGGCAAGGGATTTTTAGTCAGACTATTTAAAACTTCTTGGGATAGTTTTTCTGATGAATTCTGGCCCTTCTGTGCTACTCTGGAAGAAGAAGAAGAAGAAAAAAAGCAAATGGATCTGACTTATTGAGTACTGCCCCAGCATAGGGAGCTCTCAGTTGCTGGTCACCTGGCATATTCAGTTTCTGAGTGGTTGATACCCTCTCTACCCAAGCATAAGGGGTAGAAAGCTGTCAGGTCAGAGTGTGTCTGGAGTGCACTGTGTTCTGATGATCCCCTTTTGGAATATAATCCTTTGGGCAATTTGTTGTTAAGTTAGTGAACCAAGGCTGTTCTTACCTACTCTGGTGCTGGCTCAGATCCACCTTGAGAACTAGGGAGCCATAAAAAGCTGTGCTTCTTAGCAGAAACTCAACAAAACAGAAGTTTGTCCTTGTTTTTTTCTTTTTAATTTTGGTAATGTCAATTTAAGACATTAGGAAAATTCTGATGAAAAAGTGATAGAAAGCATTTCTCTGTAAATCTCATTATCCCTCCCTTCTTCACGCATGAGCTGAGAAAACTTCTATTTTGTCCAACAAAACTAGCAAGGAAAACATGATATTTTTATATTTTTCAGGCTAAAATAAAGGAGACAAACACATTTTTGGGAATAAGGCCTTTATATAACCTTTTATATAGCACGATGAATTAACAAAAAAAAATCACACTAGTACCTTTGATTTCCTTTGGAGGTAACCTTTAAAGCTCATCTTCTACTTGACAATATACTGTAACCTAAAGTTTTCAGCCCCAAATTGCCTTGATTTGTGTTTTGGGGCACAGGAACCATTCATAACACTGTTGCTCAGCAGTCTGGAGTTCATTAAAGCACTCTAGAATTTCTCTCACAGGGTTGCCGGAAAAAAACCAAAACAATGTAGGAGCCAATCACACAATCAGATTAGTCCTATGCAAGACAGAAAACTGTATTTGGATTCTCCTTTTGGGACAGAAGCAAGATAACAGTGAAGCTACTTTTTGTGATAATTGCACACCCACAGAGTCTTATCGTGAATCAATGGCAGACTCTTGGCTGCCTAACGTAGCCACACCACCCACGATTACCATATGGTCTGCAAGGTAGGTTAATGAGAATGGTTCTTCATCTTCTCCCCTCCCTCCAGAAACAAATGTCACCCTGGCTTAGATCCATAACCTCTTAATTTAATACTAGAAACAAAATAATGCTAACTTGATCTGTAGTACCAAAACCTAACCAAGTATCCCGAGTAATTTAAATTGAATAGCATATAACTTTGTAGTGTCCTTTTCAATTACACAAATGATGGAAAACACATGGGGACTGCCAAGGTAAATCACAGGCAGCTGGCAACTTTAACATAATATGAAACAGAACTGCTATTCTCAAATATTTTAATATGCTGTTAAAGTAGACTAAGAAATGCATTTTTAGGAGTTAAGACAAAATTAATCAAGAGTTAAAATAAATTTGTTTAAACCTTCCTTGGCAAGTCTGAATTGCAGTTTTGTAAAGCCATGTGAAGATTAGACAGCCTATTGAAATATTAATTGTTTTCCTAACAGTACGCTGTATTAGTATAATGGTAATTTTTAGAATTGTGTACATTTAATATGACAAGATACATTAATATTGTCAGGGGCCTAATTCATTGGGACCCCTATTATCCTATGATTTACTAGTGGACTATAACCAGTGATCAGTGGCTCACTTGCATCCCATTTTTAGAGACTTATATTATCTTCAGGTCTTAACTCTTTCGCTGATGTTGCAGTCACACATGGACTTAAAAATATCAACTGCAGCTGTGGACTATTTTTATTTTGCTTTTAAACCTGCCTGATAGACTTATAGAAAAGCACTGTAAATTAGAAAGTATGTAAGTGTAATACTGAAAAAAACCTGAATGTATTTTCAGTATCAGCTACATATATGTATAATTTGTGTATCACTTTAATGATTTTTGGCTGTGAAAGATAAAAAAAACAACTGAAATTTTGCTTCTCACACCTGTGACTTTTTACAAAGTTGCCACGTGATCAAGCAGTAAGATTGCCAGAGAAATTATAAAATTAACTTGGGCACTGGAATAATATTCCTCAAAATTTACTACAGTACTTGAGATTCAATAGTAATTGCTAGGGTACTAGTGCTACTGACCTTATTGTAATTAACTAAAAATTGAGAATATTTTTGAAAAATTAGGCCTGTAATTTGTAATTCTCCAAGGTACAGTTGATGTTAAGAGTATCTGTCCTTTCCTTTGCTAAAAGGGCATTTTTATTCTCAGTGACAATTATACCCACTCATTGTGGATGTTTGTAGACCTGATGGCTCTGGACTGCTTTTAGTAGCAATGAACAAATCAACATGCTGCTTTTTCATAAATAAAGGATATTTATTAGACCAGTAGTTTATCAGTGGCCATTTATATTTCACCAACCAGATATAATTTTGAAGAAATTATATTCTATGGAACATCTTTTGACCACCATGAATTCCATTATCCAGTACATCTAATATGGAAGCATAATTCATATACAACTTTAATCCTGAAAATAATATCAGAACTACAGGTCAAATCATATTTCAGAAGATGGGTATATGATTACCTGAAATCACCCATTCCATTCCTGAAACCTGAAATTTGGTGTCTGTTTCCATAAACTACCAGCTTCCTTTATTCCACAGAAAACTGGATATAAAGCTCAATAAAATTAAGTGATCTCTTTCCATTGACTTCAATGGGTTTTAGATCAGGCCCAGAAACTAAGCCCATAAATCAATCTATTAGACCACTTCTGACTCTGCAGTAGTCCATGGCTCCACATGCATCAGTTGAATAACTCCAGGTGAGTTATTTTCTATTGTAATGCCTTTCCAGTGGCTATTAACTTGATATATTCCCACTATGCTAATTAATTTTGACTTGAAAAATTTTGAGACCATACATAGTAAAAACTACTGTATACTCAGATGGATAATTACACTTTTAATTACTGAAAAGTTCACTCTGGATTAGGGATGTTAAAAATCATGTAATTGAATACTCGTGTAACCACATGAAATCTGAGCAGTTACATGACTAGTCAATATTCCCCAGGGCCAGGGGCAGAGCCGGTAACAGCACAGGGTGGCAGGTGGGAGCTGGTCCGTGAGGGGAGACAAGTTTAAAATTTAAACAGCTCCCTGTGCAGACTGGCTGGCTGCCACCCCACGCCACTGCTTCTGTATAAGAGGCAGCAGCACGGGGTGGTGGCAGCCCCTGTCCGCAGGCAGTCTGAGCTCCCAGAACACAGAGGTTAGTCCACGCAGCAGCCTCTGTCTGTGGGGAGCTCAGACCCCCGTGGTGTGACGTAGTGGGGGTACCTGGCTGGTTTCTATGCTGCTGGCTCTGGGGTAACCCCCCCTGGCTGTCGTGGGGACCACGACCCAGCAAAACAGGATGAGTCACTATGCAAACCAGTGACCAGACACCCCCCATGGAGAGGAACAAAGGAAGGTGGATGCTGCCCTGGCTGGGGGGCAGGGCTGGAAGTTAGTTAGTTGGTGGCTGGCTGTCTGTGAGCATGGAGGAGACAGCCTAGGGAGAGGAGCTGGAGGTTAGGGGCCCAGTCTCCCCCCAACTCAAGGGGGCCTGAGGCATCCTAGCCCAGCTCTGTGACCAGATTACATCTGTGCTGTGCTGTATCCTGGAGAGGCAATAAACTTCCTCTATTCCACTGGCTGGTGCAGTCTGTTTGTGCCATTTTGGGGTGCAGGAGACGGGGGACCCCCAACGCGCCGTCACGGGAGCTCAGACCCCCGTGGACAGGGGCTGCTGCGTGGAACAGCCTCTGTACACAGGGAGCTCAGACCCCCATGGACAGGCTAGCTGTGCACAGAGGCTGCCTCACAGCAGCCATCCTTGCCCCTCCCTCCCACTGTTGCCTCTGATAGAGGTAGCAGCCTAGGGGGGAGAGGCAAGGTGGCACTGTGCTGCTGGTGGGAACCAGCTTTTAATCTGGCTCTCCCCAAGCATTGGCTCCTGCCTGCTCCCTTTGGCAGGCAGGTCCACGGAGCCATCTTCCCATGCATATAGGCTCCAGTCTGCACCCCTCAATCTCCACCTCCATCAGAGTGCAGGGGTGGGGCAGGCAGATGCTGTGCTGGTGGGAAGCCTGCTTAAAGACAGCTCATGGGCAGCAAGGGGGGTGAACTGATAAACCCAGGCTATCCATCAGTTATTCATTTACTCAACTACCCACTAACATCCATACTCTGGATTGCATTTTGCTAGATTTACAACAATTTTGGTTTACTGTCTTGATCACCTAGAAGTGAAAGGCGAGTACAACACGCTCTAATTTCCTGGCATATCCACGTCGATGGCCCTATTAAACTGATCACATACTAGAGAGGTGTGGTCTAGTTTCTCGTGAAGTTATAAACACACAAAGCAGTGGGATAAACGTGCTCGTCTCCGGGATGTTCGTAACACACCTACCAGTCAGACCGCTCTGATGGAAGGTTGCAACTGGGACACGCTTCCTTCTCAGCGCGCTCGCTCACCCCGGCACCTAAAACACAGGGAGCGGAAAAAACAGGCTGCTCCCAAGAGCCCTCGGGCACAAGCCCCCCTTCGCCCCTTTGTTTTAAGCTGGTTCTTGTCAGGTGGCCTGCTGCTGGGCCCGCGCTGCGCGCACACAGCCCTGCGGCCAAGGCGAGGGACACCCTCTGAGCACTTACCCGCGTCTGCCTCGCGCCTCTCTGCCTGCAGCATGGGGGCCGGGGCGGTGGGGTGCTCGGGCAGCTTGTGCACGAACGAGCATCCGCCCCTCTCTCTGGTGATCTGTCAGGGAGTGTCCATCCCTCCGCCTGCGGCTCCGTCTCCCTCTTTTCGTGGGTGGGTGGGGGAGGGACAGAGCAGCTTCAGCCTCGCGCCAAGTCCGCGCGCTTTCATGCCTCGGCCCCTCCCCCTCCCCTGTGACGCGTAGTCTCTCAGCTCCCTGCGGGCCGGTGGGGTTTTTTTTTTT